TCTTGATAACTTGTCTGCTTAGGTTAGGATTGGCTCAGGATCAGGGCAGGGCTGAGATCTCAGGTTGGACTCAGCAGTCCTCAAGGGTGAAAAGGAATGATGTCAGTTGCAGACTGATGTAATGCTACCTTGCTGCAAACGTGAACGTACTACGTGGCTTATTTTACTAAATACCATTTGCTAAAATCTAGACATCTTTTTTGAAGGTAAATTTTGAGTTCAAACTTACTTCTGTGTTTGTTAAAAACAGATGACTCCTCAATCATGTGTTTCAAAAACAACCACAACGAAAAGTTGTTTATACACTTCCAGTCATTCACTAATTCATTCAATGAATGTTTATTGAACACTTGCTATAGATTATAGGCACTGTTGTAGGGGCCAGAAAAATAGCTGTTCACAGGACAAATCCTCGACCTTAAGTAGTGTACGTTCTAGTGGATTCCACAGAAGCCAGTGAATTCCAGTGGGTTTTGAAATATGGAATTTGCATGTATATTCTTAAGCTCTTTTTCTGTACTTGAAGCAAAGTAAAAAGAACTGTCAGAAAGTTGTTATATTTTTTTCTGTGAAGAAAATAAATATTTTGTGTGTTATAGAATACTTGGAAAAAAGTAGGTTCTTCATGCGACGGGATTTTTTTCTCCACTTTAAAAAAGGATTAAAGGGGCCGGCCTGGTGGTGCAAGCGGTTAAGTGCGCGCGCTCCGCTGCGGCGGCCCAGGGTTCACCGGTTCGGATCCGGGGCGCGCACCAACGCACCACTTGTCAAGCCATGCTGTGGCAGCGTCCCATATAAAGTAGAGGAAGATGGGCACGGATGTTAGCCCAGGGCCAATCTTCCTCAGCAAAAAAGAAGGGGATTGTCAGATGTTAGCTCAGGGCCAATCTTCCTCACAAAAAGACAAGCAAGCAAAAAAAGGATTAAAATCACCACAAACATAAAGGTTGCATAAGCGATACTGCATTTGTTAGAAATTTTTAACACGCAATTAAAATAGGGATGATTTTGTGATTTTCCTTTAGGCAGGCATGGTATTTTGTGGTATTCATCTTTTGCTGTAAAATATTTTTATGATTTGTATGTTGTGAACTAGTAGGATTTATTCTATGTACTGTACTATTTTCTATGACTTTGTCACAGCCAGGCATTAAAAAAAAGATAGTATAACTATAATGTCTCTTAAGGAAAACAGGAAAAAAAGAAAGAAAGCTATTTTTGAAACAATGAGTGGTGAAAGCACATCTTGAAATCCTTATAAGTACAAAAACAACAGCCTCCAAAACTGTGTATTTTGATACACAGTTTGATAAAATAATATTTGATAAAATCTTTCATTTCTCATGATAGAAGAATATTAGACATTCCAAGGATACTTCAAAATCTCTCCTTTGTAACATAATACAATATAACTAAAAAAATTATTAATAAGCATTCCTATTCCCACGTAGTCTGTGTGCCTCCTTCCCCTACCCCCTGCAATATCACTGTCTTAACTTGGCAAGACTCTCTGTTTAACATTCACTAACGTCTTTTCCCTTCCTGTTTTTGTCTTTCAAATTATTTATCATTTAATTATGAAAGATACAATGCATAAAAGACTGTTCCCATTTGACTTTTAGAAACACTTGCTGTGTTAAAAGAAATTATGTGGTTATTATTTGCTTTTAAAATCAACTCACTAGAAATACGTTGAAGATTTTCTATGTGTGAAAAATTTGCCAGAGGGTTGGCGAGGTTTAGCAGTGAGTATGGACATATGGGGGATATATAAATGCATAAAACACGATCCCTTCTACTAATTTGGGAATAAACCATGTGCCTTTGTTCATCCTGTTCTCTCATACTGGAGTGCCATTTTCCTGTTCTTTAGCAGTTGGAATCCCCACATCCTTCAATTGCTTCCTCCATGAAGCCCTTTCCAGAATTTCATAATCAAAGTTCCTCATCTCTAATACTCGCAAGAGGTCACTATACGTCTATATAGCATTGCTCATTTCGCTTTTTTGTTGTCACTTTCATGTCTGATTATACCAATTATAGCTGTGCTGTGGCTATTCAATTTAAATTCATTAAAATGAAATAATATGAAAAATGTAGTTCTTTACCTGCACTAGCCACATTTCAATTGCTTAATAGCCACATGTAGCTCATGGTTTCTGTGTTGAACAGCACAAATTAAGACCATTTTCACCATCACTGGAAGTTCTATCGGACAGCAGTGCACTAGATTGTAAGCTTCTTGAAGGCAGGCGACATATCATTTAAATTAATAAGGTTCAAAACTTAAATAATAAATGTGAAATAGATATATCTCAGTGGTGATGTGGAACAAGAAGGAAGATCAGGATTGTTTGGCTGATAGCATAGAGTTGCTGTAGTGTATTTGGGAAGATTGCATTAGACTCCAAAGAAAGACATGTATATTATGTCTGCTGAAATAAATATAGGTACTAGGAATTCAAAACCATCATAAAAACTACGCATAATATATAGCTCAATTTTAAAAAATGTAGTCACAGTGAAGTAAATGGATTAAGAGATGCTGTCAGATTTTTACCTGTCAATCTAAATATCCATAATATCTAGTCTACATTCCTATTCAAAATTCTTCAGATTGAAATAATTTTAATTGGCTTGAAATACAATTTTTAAAGAAATATTATATCCTAAGAATGCGTACTCTAAGAATTGTAAGAAATTCTACTCTAGTACCAAAAAAATGAGCACTGCTATTTTTTATTAATATAATGAAAAAGTTATTGCATTTAATTGAACTTGAAAAATAACATAAAATTATTGGTTTGGTAGAAATATACTACTTCCTTTTCCAGATCTATAATCCCATGTAGATACGTAAAATTTTGTTCAAAGCATACATTGGTCTTCAATTTCAGCATATTGTCCATAAGTAGAACGAGGATTCTGCAGGGGGAGTAGGCCTGGTACAGGGGAAGCATGGCCTTTGGGCTCTGACTTGGCCGCTCACTGACAGTGTGGTCTTCAGCAGGTTACTTAACAGTTCTGAATGTTTTCACTCATTCTAAGATGGGGCTACTGATTTTACCACACAAATTTGTTATGAAATTTATAGAAATAGGCATTGAAGCTTCAAGCACCTGTCTGGTATGCCCAATACCTGTCTTTTCAATATTGAGTTCAACATCTGCCAGTGTCCTTCCTTGTGAACCCATCAGTATCTTTACCCCCTAATTTAGCCAAATAACCTGCGATTTTGTACTTGATTTTTTTTTTGATGAATGATATTTTTTGTTAGTTATCATTGTCTGTCTATAGATCTTTTCTCTCTTATCTGTGTTTCTTTGATGGCAACAATTACAAACTGAGACAAAGAAAAGAACATTTTAATGGAGTTTTAAGACAAAGGTAGCCTATGCCATTTATCTTGAAAGTAGCTTAAAATAACACAAAGATGTCATAATTAAAAGGGATTTTAGAATATTGTGTGTTACTTTATATACCAAGAACAGCAAAACTGTTTATTTGACTGGAGAAACAGGTTTGGGTGAATCATTACTTGTAATGGAAGCTGAATCAAATTAATGGGTTTTCCAAGTATAATATCTCAACAATTGTATTGTATGACTAGAACTCTATGAAGGATTATGTATTTAACTCACATTTGTATAATATCCATTAATTTATTCCATTACTTTAAAAAATGGGTGTGTGGCCTACCATGGATGTTATGTAATACAGCCTACCACTTAGATGCTCTTGACATGTACTATATGCTCTCTAATGACTTCATGATGACTAGTTATAGGGAAGAAAGTAAAATAAAAAAAAGACAGAAAGGGAATTGAACATAAGCCAAAAGAGAATGATCGGATTGAGTAGATGGCACGTTTTACCAAAGCCTGCCTTTACACTGCTTTCCTAACTTTCATATATTAGATCTATTTAGTATCATTATTCATGTTACAGTTTATGTTGTTTTAAAATATTACCTTTGTGAAGTCTTTTGTAAAATCATTATAGATGTGATGTACTTAAAGATGTACTAAATGTACATTAAATGTACTAAAATTAATAATTTGGGAGCATGGAGGATAATTTAAAAACATACTCTTAGCCTACCAGGAAAAATAATTTTGGAAACCAAAATTTTAATACCTTTAAAGTAAAAATGAAACACATTGAAATGCTTTTCAAAAATCTTACTTTTTTCTTTAAGATTTGCTTATGCAGCTGTGATCTTTTTGATGTTCTGTGCAGTCTGTCATTTGATGCACTATCCCCATGAGGTCAATCCTACTTAACTCCTTATTGATAAGCAATACAGAACACAGAATGCTGAATAGTTTGTCTGAGAATGTCACAAAATATGAAAGAATCAGAATGGGATTTTAGAGTTTTAGGCTCTCCTGCCTGACTAATTATTTTGAGCTTTTTGTGTGGTTTTGTTTATGGAGAAATTGGAAAGTAATCAGGTGTAGAGTCTGATTGCTGTACATTAATTGTTTTCAGACCATAGGAGAGGCAAGCTTCCAATTCCTGTTATTATGTTTGTTTAACATTTCTCTGTAAATCAGCAAGGCCCATTTTATCCAGTCTTAGCCAAATCAAATATGATCCCTGTACTTTTCTATTTGTGTTTGAAGATATAGCAAAAGTACTCATCATCATAGTGTTTATTGAAGTGAAAACTTCATTCATGCTTGCATGAATGCCTAATAGACTTGAAACAAAGGCTGTCAAATTCAAGAATACTTGGGAAGATTGCATGTGTTCTCTCCTAATAGGTATTTGTGGCATTTGTTTGGGGACTAAAAGTTTTGATTTAGTCCTGTAGTAAAGAATTTATTAAAAATTTTAAGATTTCTCAGTTGCTCCTGAGTAAGATAGATGAGGAGCACTTTTTGGATAAATGCTGTGTAAATTTAGCAAGAAAAAGAGGTTATTTTCTTATACTGCGTCCCATGATTTCAATCTCTTTTTCATCTCCCTGTTTTTTTTTATCCTTAATTTAATTTCAGAGGGCTGCTGAAGTATCAAACTAATTTAGACACCCACCCTCCTGGCTGTATCAATCTTAATGGAACCCACCACCAGAATATTCAGTTACCAGAGTATCTCTCAGAACATTTTCATGAATCTTTCCGTGGAAGATTTTCAAAACCAGATGAGCTTACCCGGAAAACATTTGTGAAGATTTGTATGGAAGAGCCCAGGTTCCAAGTGAATTTTCCACAGGTCAGATTAATTCTACGTCTTTGATGGTCTCTGCAAAGTCCATGTTCCCATAATTATTGCTCAACGTTACATTTAAACAAGTTTTTGAAGGTATATAAAGCAATTATTTTTTGTAGAGTAGAACATTTTAGGATGTTTCAACCACAAGTTAGTGCCTATTGTTCCATTGTAGGCAGCTGGCAGTTCAAGGAGAAAGACCTATGATATTACAGAATATAGAAAACTCCTGCCTAACTGACCATATGATCTTTGCATACTGTGGCACTGGTGCTTGCCACAAGAGAGGTGACAAGGATATTTCTCTTATCCATTGAGAAAAATAGGTTGAATATTAAAAACAATAATGAAAGAACTAATACTACTGATAATTATTATTATAGTGTAGTATAACATTATTGTACAATATTGCATATAATACATAAATTGTAAAATCAATTTATTGAATACTTCATATCCTCTGCTAGGCACTGTGCTAAAATGCACTGTAGGCAAAATTTATTTTAATATTCATAATAGCTCTTTGAAGCAATTACTATCATCCTTAATTTTCTGATGAAATTGTGGCTTAAATACATAAAATCCCTTGAGCAACTCTACAAACGACTATGTGGTAGAAGTAGAGAGCAAAAACAGGTCTTTGACTAAAATACTTACTTTTGGAAAACTTCTTCCCCAAATACCCAGTGAGTAGTTTGATAAGGGCCCTAATCTTCCCATGTGGTTGTGGGAGCTGCCCCTGTGCGCATGACACCTGTCTCTTTGCCTATACCCGGTGGAAGCAGGGGATGGTGATGTCCAATGTCTGTTTTAAGAAGAGAAGAAAGAGGAGTCAAAAGGTATAGTGAATTTGTGGATGACTTTGAAATGAGTGTGTTAGTCTGGTGTTTATTTTTAATAATAATCTTCTAGATTTCTATCAGACTACAATTTTCAGAACTTTTCTGGGCTTCACAGACTGCTATATGTTAGGCAGGACACGTACTGTGTGGATAGCCATTCTTCCTATGCGGATCCTGATGCTCAAAGGGTAAGAGACTGTCCCAAAGCTGCAAGCCCGCTGCATTGCAGAGCTTGTCCTGTGATGCCTGCTCTTCACACAGTGTCGAACTAAATGTCAGGAAGAGACATGATCTGTCTGCATGGAAGGGGAAAAATCTGGAATAGCTATGTAAATAGCTTTTTAAAAAGTGACTATTAAAATCAGTTTGGATCGGAGACCTCCAAGTGATGAAGGAGATACAGTGTGCAGTTGTGGGAGAAGGGTCAGCCACACAGGCTTCTGCCCTTCCAAGAATATGCAAATATCGTGGGATCGGGGCTATCCATGCAGCACACATGCAAAATTGTCACGCTTTCCGAATTCTAAATATTATCTTCTGTTCGTATTATATTTATTATGTAAAAGTAAGCTCTAAACAATGTGCCTAGTGTATCCCATACTTAATAATATGTGCATATACATATTTTACATTGTGTTTATATTATGTATACGTACATTATGCATATACATTATGCGCATTAAAATATCTAGGGTTTTCTTTTTTGTTACAAACATTGGACTGGTAAATTTTTTTTCTAAAATCATCTTCAGATTTATTTGAGCTTTTAACTTCCCTTTCTTCTCTCTTTAGATGAAGATATTGTGTATATGCAGTATATATTTGTTGTGTGCACGGAAGGATATGTGAAACAATGTATACTGACCTGTTTATGGTAGTTATACTCAGGGCAGTGGTTTGAGGGTAGAGTCTTGACATTCCTTTCCCTTTTGTTTTATACTTTAGTCTTGCTTGAATAAGTTGCAGTGAGCAACTCATTTTTCTTTATATTTTATTATTTAAAATACAGATTAAAATATTATGCCTGTAATGTGTGAAATAAGCAAAGGGACAGAATATAAAGATTCCTACAATGCAAGTATTTCTTAAAGTGTATTTCAAAAATTCTCTATTAGACTTGGCTTTGGATTTCTGGACCTTTGTGCCTGTATTGTGCTGAAAGACTTTACAGGTGTATCCGGAGCAATAAGCCAGTCACCATCATCTCGGTCATAAGTCATCCCTCAGATGTCATGGAAATCCGGATGGTCAAAGAAAATTTTAAAGCAAGACCTGGCCAGGTGAGTCGGTCAGTGTTCAGCAACTTTTAAAATACCCTTTATCTTTGTATAATTTTTGAAAATTAGCAGACATACCATCATTGGAATACTTGAACTTCATTCTCCGTCATTTAAAATTTATGTTTGTTGCTTTTTAGTATATTATTCTACATTGTCCCAGTGTGTCTGCGTTAGAAAACCATCCATTTACCCTCACAATGGTAAGAAACTTGTTTTTTGATTTTTAATTTTTTAGAGTAAAATACGTCTTTTTCTTTTGTGTGTGTGTACTCCACCTCATTCTAGAAATCACTCAAAGTTCTCACAATATCCTAAATAATTAAGTAAGCCATCTTTTTACAAAGAAATATAATTATCTGTTCAGAAACCTTGTAACTATTATTTTCTGACACTTTACAATTCAGGAAGTAGTATATTTGAAATGTATTAAAGCTTGTTGATTCAAAAATACAGCAAGTTTCTTGAATATTTGCACTTTTCTTTTTATGAAGTATGTACCAAAATATATGTGCATGATTTTCTTTAGGGAGATTGAATTTAAAGAAAAAGAGGGTACTTTGAGTTGAAGTAGAAGCGTAAGAAAATGCAGGCAGTGTTTAGAAAAGATTAAGTCCCATGTGGGGCCGGCCTGGTGGCACAAGCGGTTAAGTGCGCGAGCTCAACTGCAGCGACCTGGGGTTTGCCAGTTCGGATCCCAGGCGCGCACCGACGCACTGCTTGTCAAGCCATGCTGTGGCGGTGTCCCATATAAAGTGGAGGAAGATTGGCACGGATGTTAGCCCAGGGCCAATCTTCTTCAGCAAAAAGAGGAGGATTGGCAGATGTTAGCTCAGGGCCGATCTTCCTCACAAAAAAAAAAAGTCCAGTGTAATTGGCACCCAAGCTGTGTATGGAGGAGGGAAAGGAAAATGAAGTTGGACAAATGAAGTGGAATAAATAATGGTGGGGAAATCTGGCTAAATAATGGCATCACCAAATAGTTTTAGTCTGTCGGCACATTGTTTAACATTATTTTTTGCATTATAAAAATAGCATGAGCCTAGTATAAAAAAGTAAACAATTCACAAATATATAAGATAAAATAGGAACTTTTCCTCATTTTCCCCACTTCTCAATCATTTTCTCCAGAATTTGATGTATATTCTTGCAGACGTTTTCCTATATACTTTGGCATATATAGGTGTTTGACATTTGTTTGCTGGATCATTTGTTTTATAACTTGCTTTTTCACTCAACAATGTATCATGGACAACTTTCTGTGTTACTATATTTGTATTTGCCTCATTCTTTTTAATGACTGCATAATATTTCACAGTAGGAAACTACTGTAATTTATTTAATGTACTTCATTGATGACAGAGATTAAGATTTTATTCAATTTCTAGCAAAGGTAACTGTGAACACAAACCATATATTTAAATATATGCTTAAGATATGCAAATGAAATTGAGTAAATTAGGGTTGGGGAGAAAAATAACTGGTGTCAAAGTGCTGAGATGTAGGGGTGGGATTGTACTGGGAATGGGGACCACTTTCAAATTTGATGTATTAATCAAGTTACAAACTTGGAGACCTTGGCCAAGTTACTTCATTTTTTTGTGCATTGTTTCCATGGTGTAATATTATGATAAAAACAATACCTATCTGTAGATATATTGTGTGTTTTAATGAACTACTACAAGTATAGCATGTAGAACAAAGCCTGGAACATGGAAAGTGTCACGTAATGTAAATACATGTTAGCAATTATTATGACTTTTATTTTTAGTGTGAGCTTGCCCCCTGAGAACATGTATTTGGGAAGACAGCTAGGCCCGAAAAATCTATATTTAAGGGATAAAAGAAACAGAAAGGACATGTCAAATGGTTAGAGAAAAACCAGATGTTATTTATTCAATAACATTTCTTCAAAGGGAAAAATACATTTTTGCTTCACTTGCTCCAAATTTTGCATTTTGTTTGTATGTAGCAAACTTATTTATTAATGATTAAACAAAGGTAGCTTGGCGTCTAGTGAAATAATTAACAACATTCCATTTTATCAAGAGAGATGGCAACACTGGCCTACCTTGGGGTAGAAGTTAATTTATAGTTGTTTCTCCAAAATAATGATGATAGAGGAGTACAGTCCAGACACTCTTTCATCTGGTGCTGTGTGAGCGGCTAGCTAGAGTGGAAGGGGAAATGTGTTGTTATGAGCAATAGTGGGAACTTATTTCCACTTCTGGGATATAAAATTGGGACCTCAGAGACTTTAGGAGTCATCAGGAGCCAAGTAGCCATATCATGCCCTTCACTCCTCTAGGATATGCATACCCCACAAGGTGGTTTCGTATGATTGCCCTTGTTCTATGAGAACAGCAGGATCTTGGCAAGTAAATCTGCTTAACAAACCTTCATATATGATGTTTCAGCTGAATCACGAAGCCATTTTCACGGGGTTGAATCCACTAGTCAGAAGAGCTGTGCTTTAGTTCTTATAGTTGTAAGATGTTTCCATTTCTCTGCATCCATACATACCAGAAACATGATATTGTAACATGAAAAGAAAGGAAAGAATGGAAAAAGGAGAAAGTACACAAGTGCATTTGTCTTTATTTAGATAGTTTAAGAAGTTTGGCATAATCTTGGAGACACACAAAATTTACTTCAAAAATTAACCTTTCTTTGTGTTTGACACTATTTTTTTCCCAGCTTTATTGAGGTATAACTGTAAAATAAAAATTGTATATATTTAAGGTGTACAACATAAAACTTTATTTTGAAAATAATTTCTTCACCATAGGATTAAATTGAGAACAAGGGATAAGAAACGAAGGCAGTTGCTGAATGTCAAGTACAGAGAAGAGAGGGGATTTTTTTTCACAAAAGTATTTTCCAACATACACAAAAGTAGAGAACCCCCATGTACTCATCACCAAAAAAAGAGAAGAGAGTTTGCTTTTTAGTGTACATTTTATCAATGAAAACTTTTATAATCTCTCAAAACAGAAAATCTAAGAATTTTCACCTTTGACACACACCGAATAGAGGCTTCTAGATATAATGTCTTTCAGTTGATCTAGGACCCCTTCACAGGGCAAAAGGAAAAGTACAAAAATAAAGTGGTGTGTAGAACCTGAAGGGCTTTAAACAAGTGCCCCATGTGGCCTGGTTCTTCCTGAAAGGTGATGCGGAAGAGCCATGAGAGCCGTGTGAGAGCCTTGTAGCTGGCTTGAGCACAGATGGGAGGAAATGATAAGGGGGAGGAGGGAATGTCGGGAACAGACAGAAGAAAAGGAACTGGAGGAAGGAGAGAGAGAGTTGAGAGAGTGAGAGCAAGTTATGTGTGACGTAAATGGTAATAAGTATTCACACGAAGGACATGAACTTTAGAATTCAGCCCCAGCTCTGTCACTTATTAGTTCTGTGTCTGTGAGAGAATCTTTGAACCTCTCTAAGCCTCAGTTTCATCATCTGCAAAATAATACTAATAATAGTTGTCTGAAAGGGATATTGTCAATATCAGTTTAATAAAATAATGTGTGTAAAACCTTTGTCACATGGTTGGTGGTCAGTATTTGGTAATGATACTATTACTACTTTCCTAATCTCAAAATATTTGCTTTTAATTTGGATTATTGCCTTCAATTCTGCAATTATGTTTTTTTGAGAAGCAGATAGGGAACATGAACATGTGGTTTCTCAACCTGAAAATGAGAAGCTTTGGGGATGTCACAGTAGTCACAGTCATTTGAAAAATCTGTCATGTAGATGAAGGATTAGATATTTTTCCTTTGAGATCTCAAGGTGTAGAAATAAGACTAATAGGTAAAGAGTTTTAGGAAAATAAATTTTGATTCCATGTAATAAAGACATTTCGAACAATGAGACCAGTCCAGAAATTTAGAAAGCTATCTCACAGGAATGTTTGGAAGGATGTTTGTGCTAGAGCAGGACTTTTCAACCTTGGCATTATTGACAATGTGGGTGAGATAGTTCTTTGATGTAGCATGTTGTCCTGTGCATTATAGGATGTTTAGCCGCATCGCTAGCCTCTACCCACTAGATGCCAATAGTACCCCTGGCTTGTGACAATGAAAAATGTCTCCAGACACTGCCAAACATCCCCTGAGGGCAAAACACTGCAGTTGGGAACCACTGTGCTAGATCAATGGTTGCCCAACATAGCTTAAAGTGCTCAAGGGCCGCAGGTTGTTCTCCTAGGGGCCCCTGTGGGAAGGGAGAATTTAGGAGGCAGTAGAGACGATGAGTGGTTGGAGTGCCTAGCTTGTGTTCTGGGGACCCCAGACTCACTTCAGCGAGAGCAGTTCTCTTTCAACTGGTTTGCATATGAGGATTCTGCTTAAGTACTCATATGAACATCATCACCTAAAACTATTTTTTGCATACTTTACTAGAATCCTTTTTGGAATTTCATAAAAATTATTTTGGCTACCGTGAGTTCCCGCATACTGTCATGTGGTGTAGACCTTTGAAAGAGAATTTGATTAATTTTCAAATTCAGAATTGTTTTCCATATTTGAAGTGTTTGGATATGAATCGAAAGAAAAGATAAGATAGCACTATAGAGATAAAACAAGTGAATCAAAACTTAAAATGATGTAAGAATATTCTGATGTACTTGGCATTTTGACACGTGAATGAAAGGTTATTATATTTTTTCCTGTGGAATCCTAAGTTGTGAGAAAAGGAACAACAATGCATTATTCTTGGAGAACAAATATTGGTTTAGTGACTACTTTGGGAAATAGAATGTGTTTGGCTGGGTGGGAGAGAGACAAGAGAGCGTTTCTTCACCTCAATGAAACTCTGTCAGGTATTCAGTGCTCCTGAGTTTCCTAATGAGCAGCCTCCTACAGCGAAGGACCATCACCCAGGGCCTGACTCTAGAGGCAGCCTAGTGAGCCGTCAGCACTAAGGCTCTGTGGCCAGTGCAGGCTTGTTTCAGAAGATTCGAGTTCAGGAGTGCATTGGATGGAGGCAGCGAGTTTGGATGCCTAGAATTCTATATTCCTCACAGCTTTTCTTCTTTGTTACTTTTTTCAATTAATAAAAGACTTTTCCTTATTCCTTCCACTTCTTCCAGGCCACTTCTTCAGTTCTTTTAAAAGAAGGTGGTTCTCTGAAAATTCTCTGAGAAAAAATAAGACAGAAAAGACATTTTTCTATGACTGAAAATAGTTTGGAAAATACTGCT